CTTTTGATATGATTCACTTCCAGGGTCATGTCAATTACAGATGGAGGACTGATGTCAACTGGCAGTATTTGCACAATTGAAGCAGGTATATGGAGATCTGTCTTAAAATATTCTGCCCATCATTCAAGACGGCGTTGCTGACGACGCATCAGTGTGCCATCGCTTATTTTCCTGGGACCCGTATTCCTACTTAGACGGAAAAGATTGCCACGGTTACTAATAGCTGCAGGTTTCTCCATCTCTCTACACTTTTTTACCACCATTTCTCACAGTCATTCCTCAGGCTATTGATGAGGTGGCGCTAAAGAAATCCACACGCTTTGTCGTATTTAGCATCAGAGGGAATGGCTTACCGAGCGTCCAGCAGAGCAGCCGAGGTCGAGAAGATTCATCGTATTTGCTTTGATCGTGAGCCAGAAACCACTGTTATTCTGATTAGCATTCGGATCGCTTCCTGGTTAACCATCCAGTGTTTCCTGAATCCTTCAGCGGATGACTGAGCTGAAAGGCGATCAGAGAGTAACTCTGGAAAGGCCAAATGGCAATCGATCGCCGTTATCCGTTCGCTGGCAGGGCAGAGCACAGCAACCGCCTAGGAAAGCTTCTGATGCACCGGTTTTTTAAATTGCGCTTAAAATCACTGAGCTCAACCGAATGAGTTCGGTAAGTTTGTCGTAGAAATAGCTGCTTTTGTGTCTCAAAACTACAGGTGGTTAGTGCATATGGCGAGATGATGAACAGACACATTTGATGTTGCTAACTCTTCGGGTGCTGATTAAACCTTGGAGCCGCATCGCACATAAGCGACTGTTGACGGCGTCTCAATCGTTTAGTGACGATTCGGATGTATAATTGAGTACAATATTCAACCCGCGCTTCGTCGTACCCTGATATGCGAAGGACATAATTCGAGGACGAATCTGCTGCACTCAAGTGACTTATGTATGTTTCAGTACTTTGGACAATTCTGAGATGCGATTTAAGTCTTCGGATGAGCATAGTGCCACTTTGTACACACTATTGCACGAGTATGGCGAGAAACCCGGAGGATTGACGTCGATAACAGCCGAAGAGTATTCGTGAACTGCAATCGCATAATCATTCAAACCCTAGCTCTTCACGAACTGCGAGGGCAGAGTTTTGTATCATATGTGGCACCGCATGGGTTTGCTCTGCACAGGATGGAAGGCCAAGGGTAAACAGACAATGAATTGGCAAAGACAATGGAAGCCTTCACCAGTGAACTTGGTTAAGATTCTGCTGGGCGTTTTACTAAAGATGAAAAAGGATAGACGTACACACATGTGTAAGGGATAATATGGTAAATTATCCCAGACTCAGGTTTCTATAGTGGTCACTCTGATTACTTACTGTCCCATAATCTATTTACTATCGGATATCCAGTAAGAAAGACTTCATCGTTCAGGAACGCTGTACTATTCTGGGTTACTTTGTAACTGCTAAATGCTGAATATAACGCACACATTCTAGGGGTATACTCAAAGTAGATTTTACATGAATGTATGAGAAAAANGTTTTACGCTTGAATGATTGCTTTTGTTTCACTGGGATATGAAGGGCTGACTTACTTCAGATCCTTCCTCTGCTTCAGCGTTGGCAGCTTGGATCAAGGCTAGTATGGTACTCGGATTATAGTTGGAGCCCAACGCATCTAGACATAGAATGTATGTGAACTGAACATGAGCACGAATGCCAACCTATTCGCGATTTCAGATCTGCATACCGTTCTCGAGCCTCGGACAGTCGTTGATAGAGATCAGCTAAGTCGTGCTTTTTCACCAAGAATTGTGGTTCCAAAGCCAGATTCGTTTCGGCCAATCGACGGTTTTGCTGCATCAGAGACTCTTTATCTGCAATTGACTTTTTCACCTGCAATAAAAAAGTGAAAATTAATGAGGTGATAAACAAAATTACCTGACTGCTACTTTTCGCAATCTTCTTGATTTCTTCTGTATCGTTAAGTAATTGTTCCAGTTCCGTTTTGCTCAGCCCGGCCACGCTAGTAGAAAGATCATCGTTTGCGAATCCGTTGTAGCTTGTGCCTGATATTCCGCAATTAAATGCCATCAATTACATGAACTGAAATGGTATAGTATGAATTGGATACACGAAGGAAATAATTCAATAAGACAAGGCACATGGTATGAGTTGAGGCGTGAGTGAATATATGTACATAAAGATAATCATAATCAAGCATACGCTTTCAGATCTTTCGAGCAGTGTGGCTGGCCTGTGTTCAACGAGTGTATACGCTATCATCCACATTTACATGTAACCTTTTTAAATAACACTAGTTAACAAATTCGGTCCTGTTATTACTTGCAAAGTGGTTCGATAAAATCAATTAGTTTGTTGCTGAAAGCTTAGCGAACTGCACTGAATTAAGGTGGGTGACATGCACACCAACCCCTAGTGCTATTTTCCTTCAATCAATAGGTAATCGTGCAACCAATTTGTCAATAAGGAAACTACGATCAATCAAAAGCTCAAGGAGAAACCAAATGATGACAATGGAGGGGTTTCAGTTTCAGTTTTTACAAACATTAACCAAGCACTTTCGTGGGCCGGCTTTTTTTGATCGTTTTACCCGTTGCCTTACGGTCAGGTTCTTGCCATAACTGAAGGCTTTGCTTAGGAACCGTAAATGGCCTCCATGATGGATGGAATCCTTAGCAGTACCGGTACATAAAGCTCCAATGAACACGTAAACTAGACCAAATTTCAGACGCCGGTCATCGCACAGGATCATCAGGACAGGGATGTCTAGTGCATCGAGCAGGTTGCGGATTGATAAATGGACAACTGCTCAGACATCGATATCTCTACTGAATTCTTCGACCTAAACCCCTTCTCTTTTGCTCCACTTTCCTGTCAGTAACATCTCCTCATACCACTCTTCATTTCACTAGCAAAAGGCTGTTACCAAACAGCGTTCTAACTGGTATACCATCGGAAAAATTGCAGATCCTGAAGCCTCGGCAACCACTGGGAATGGGAAGCTTCAGATGTGAGAACTCTCACGCAAACACACTAATCTTGGGTATGTAACGAACTCGATAGTGATCCGTGTTTATGCGTACTGGAGATGCGCATTCGGGGTCCTCGTAGCACAGGCCACTTGGGTGCGCCAGGTCTGTCCCCCAGATATTTTATTTGCACATCAGGAAACGATTAATCTCACTCTTTGGGTCAGTGTGGAGTAGTAATCGTACTAAACGATAAAGCAGAGGGTCCACCAATAGATAGGATGCACGCATGAGCAATGAGGCTCCAGCGTTCTTATTCCGTTGAGCCGCAACTCTGATATCATGGTGCCAGTAAGTGATTTTAACGCGCAGGTTGGATAGCTGAATGCATCTGAAACCAGTATGGGGTGTTTCGCTCTACCTGTCCAGCAGACAGACAGTGGGGATTGACTTCTTTAGTTCTGTGTAGATCATAGATTGTTCTTAGCTAAAACTTTCGACACAGCTCTCGTCGTACGGCAACAGGGTATTCTAGTTTAACGCGCAACTTAACACAAAATTGATCACGTAGCTGTAAGCTACCATTGGTGTGACCCAGTAGAAAAATGCGAATCCTATCGAACCATTCGCGTTGAGTCCGATTAAGCGTTAGTTCTAATGCGCCTCATGATTCGACTCATCGGTCATCGAAAAAAATTATCGCCTCCTCAGTTGGCTCATCATTGTCTAGGCCACCCAGCTGTTTGTTGATGTCGTAAGAAGCTTGGACAGGCTGGGAACATCGTAACGTGAAGGGGGGGGTAGTTCATCAGTGAAATCAAATTGGATGTGCGGTGCACTGGGCGACAAGCTGCTTGTGACCGAGTCCGAAGTTCTTCGAAGACACTGGATATCTCAGGAGCAACCAGTCCTGACGGAACAACAGTGAAAGGTCCCTATCTGCCTGGACTAACAAAAAGTCGGTGGCGTCTGCAACCTCAGCTCATGTAGGGTGATAAGAAAGAGCGTGAAAACTGGCGGGCCCAAACAGCCACTGAAATGGAAGTAGCCTGTATCGGAACAGTCAAAGACTGCTCCACTTGATACGCAGCACCGGAGGTTGTCACAAACCGGTCGGTGAAACCATTGGTGATAAGAGTGGACAGATTATCCACGAGTATTTTAGTGAACAACCAAACTGAACTGGTGCTAGTGCGGCTATTCTGGCGAATGCATCGGAAACTCCGTGAATGGGTAACACGCGAACCCCTTACAGAACAAGAAGTTCGAGGGTGTACTCAATCACCAAAGAAGGGAAGGACAGCAGGACCTAAGGGGCTTCTTCCAATTATTTTTAAGCGCGGGATAACTCTCTCGTCGACTCGATGACTAGTTTACTTGACAGCAATTCCTATGAAGAGCGTACCCCTTTATCCTGGGATGAATCGCTCGCCACTCCCATTTTCAAGAAGGAATCACATATTGACGGTGCAAGCTAAAGCGGGATAAGTTTAGTTTCAATCAACACAAGTATTAGCTTGTGACACCTCACCGCTTGACACTCTTGAGGGAGATTAGTATTCGCGAACAGCAACAAGATTTCAACCAGGTAGCGGCTGCATCAACCAAATCTCAACTCAGCGTCAAGTCCTCAAATGACATCACACTCATCTTCGACCAATAATTGCAGTGGCCCTTGAACTAAAGGGAACCTTTGATTCAGTTGACTGTAAAGTCTCATTGGGTTTCCTGTTTCACAAAGGAATGCCGCAGAAATATATAAACTTATTAAGATCACTTTGCTCGCATGGTTCCGGTCGAATCAGGGTCTACGGTGGGTTAATCAAATTGTTTGAAACCCGTAACGGTGGTTGTCAAGGGTACTCTATTTCGCCATTCCTATTGGACTTCGTTGTGGACGAAATATTGGTACTGAATTAGCAACTGAATAGAAGCTGTGCGATTTAGAGCAAGGTGACGACATCGTCTGTCCGAATGTATGGAGGACGCGAAAAGCGCTCTTGATAGACTTTCAAGTTCTGTAACTTCATTTGGTATACCTTTCGCACCTCTAAAGTTCAAACTTGATGCTGGAAGACTAGGTCGTCTGTCCTGTCCCATGGGTTTGATGGTCAAGAATTAGTATAGGATTGTTTCTCTTACCTAGTCATCATCATTATCGTACAGCGAGATACAGTAAAGCGAAATTCACTGTTCGCTGCCGAGCTCTCTATGTACACAAGTTAAGCGATAAAGCACAAGATGGGGAAAGATTAGACCTAATTGGAGGCTCCGTTTGTGAGTTGCCTAAGAAGATTCACCTGCATTGGCCTAGGAAGTCTGGAATATACGGCCCACATTGCAAATCATGCAACGTTTTTTTTTATAAAGATTATAGTACCATGATTTGTTAGGCACATAGTCTGGCTTTAGACGTGTGTGAAATATAAATAAGCGCTGTAAGTGGTTTACCACAACAGATTGCAGATTATAAAGCCTCGTGAGATCACTGAACCTGGGAGCCTTCAACGAAAGGACACCGAGGCAAGTAAGTCAACAAGCTTGTTTGGAGCGTAGAATGGACTCTAACAAAAAATGTTCGCTGCGTATAAGAGACACGATTTCGTGATCTTAGTACTATAAGCCACATTAGCGGGTAGTGATAAGTAGGTTACTGCTCAGACAACCCAACCTTTGTTTAATTCTTTGTCTGGGATGTCGCTCACCAAAGGCTGTTGTCAAATAACACTGTCAGTAGTTTACCACGAAATGGACAGCAGATTCTGGAGCCTCGTTAATCACTGAATCTGGAGGCTTTCAGCGTGAGGACTCTGATGCAGGTAGGTCAACAAGCCAGTCTGACACAAGCAATGGAATCCTCAGGTATCGATGTGTGTATCACAGACTCGAATTCAAGGTCCTACCACTACAACCAACTTGAGTGTGCCAGATTTGTCCTCGAGGTACGTGCTCTGCACATCAGGCGACGACGATGGTCCGTTCAGTAGGTCAATGTGGGGTAGGCACTGTACTCAGTAACAGGGCTGAGTCCCCTCTAATCGATTGGATCCCCGTCAATAGTCGTTTGTGTGCAGCGCGCCTCCAGGGTTCAATCAGTGTCCGGAAGGGAAGCGACACCAAGAGGCATTTGTTCATTACATCGACGTATGCACCGACCAATTGCAGTTCTGATATACAAAAGGACGATTTCTACGACAAACTCACCGATCTCATTTGGATGAGTTGAGGCTCCCAAACAGTTGTACTTGCAGGTGACTGTAGCGCTCATGTTGGAAAACTAAGCCACCCACAAGGTTGCTTAGGCGGAAGTTCTGCTGTGCCCTGCCAGCGAACAACTAACGGTGATCGACTTCTTCATTTCTGCGCAGACCATTATCTGTTCCTATCCAGCTCTCGACGGAGGACAACGTGTCACGCTAACTCAAATGAACTACATAGCAGTAAGCTACCGTTGGTGTTCAAAATTACAGGTGCTATTGGAGCACCTGCTTTGAGCCTGATCACGCATTAGACATGATGCAATCCACTATACGACTCACTGCCCGGCGAAAAAAATGGCTAAGTCGATTAGCTCATCATCGACTGCCGGTCCCAGAAGTTCGTGGTAGGCAGCCTCGCTGTCGCACCGCTCACTAGCGCTACTACCACTACTACCTTGTGAAGTTTTACCATTCAAGGCCTCAGGATTGGGTTGCCGGTCTTCTCCCATACCACAAATAAACAGTAAATCTCACAGAAATCACAGAATGCGCACTCTACCTACGAACTCACAACACAACTAACCCTCATTAACATTTGCAGTATAAATTGAAATGTAAATTCTGTATATCATCATCATCATCGTACAACGAGATACAGTGAAGCGAGCTTCACTGATCGCTGCCAAGCTCACAATGTACACAAATTAAGTGATAAAGCACAAGATGGAGAGGGATTGGGTCTACTTGGATGGAGGCACAGAAAAATAACCTCTATATTCAACACAGAGCACACAATCTAAGTGTTCAGGCATACCTTTTTCAAGCATTCTGCCTTGTTAAGAAA